CGCGGACGACGCGAAGCGGGGGTTCGAATCCGGGCAGCGGGTGGAGGCCGTCAAGAGCCTGACGGTGGCCGACGGCCTGCGCACGCCGGTGGGGCGCGTGCCCTGGGGCGTGATCCACGACCGGCGGCTCGTGGCGGGCTTCTACAGCGTCAGCGAGGCGGAGATCCGCGCCGCGCTGCGGCTCGCGCTCGAGCGCCTCAAGCTCGTCGTCGAGCCCAGCGCCGCCGTGCCCCTCGCCGTCGCCCTGTACAACGAGGACTTCCGCGCCATGGTCGAGCGCGAGGCCGGGGAGACGGGGTGGGACGTCGGAATCGTGCTGTCGGGCGGCAATACGAGTCTGGAGGCGCTGGGGAAGCTGTTTGCGGAGGGTGGGGAGGGGGGTGGTGGTGAGAAGGAGGAGGTGGTGGGGGGGCGGTGATGGGATTAGGGGGGTGGGAGGGGGGATATGGGATAGTGTTTTGTCAACGAGAAATCACCTCGGACAGTACCTATGCGGTAGACATATGAATACCAAGTAGATACAAGCATTATCAATTTAATTAAGCCGTACGTGCCGCGGCGCCACTGCTGTGAACAGAGTGCGTGCGAATGCGTACTTACCTTCTTCTGCTTGTACTTACTAGCAGGGGCGGCTGACTATCGTCACACGTTGAGTAGCAAGTATCTTGCACAGGTCAGGCAGGCTTCAGGGTTCTTGCGCCTGCATGAAGTGATATAGGGCAGTAAATCTTGGGTATAGTTACGGGCCATGCATTTCAGGCATGTTGAAACGAGTAGGCGCTTCATAGCTAGGAACTCTGTAACTAATTAGAGTATGTGCTGGAATCGGAAATGGAATTCCTGGCATGTTTGAGAGTTACACAGTGACTTGATCAACGATCGAGTCATGGTTAAGCGTCCGGTCTTGCTCATTTATATGATGAATACCAAACTTTTTTTTTTTCTTGCCCCCCCTTCTCTTTTGAAGATGGAGTAACTCTACTATCAATTTTCTTCTTTTCACACTTAAAGTAAGAATTTGAAGAATCTTGTTTCTCCGGCCGTCAAGATAGTGAATCCCAGGGGGCTCAAATTCTCGCCTCCTCCTGTTCTCTTTCTGCATTACCCCCCCC